AGCCAATCAGATTTGAGTATAAATCTCAAAATTTGGCGCTTTTAAAAAAAATTGGATGTTTCTTGCTGTCCGGTACTTTACAAAATTGTTCAATTGTTTCTTAAATTTGATATATTTATTTATGATGCCCGCTAAATCAAAAACGTCAATGTGAAATGGGATCATTATTAGAGACTTACAGGATAAAACTTGATTTAAATGTAATGAACATCAATATGCAAAAATCGCCAATCATTCGTGGCAAATCAATTCCAGATATATAACCGATCTACAATAAATTAAATAAATTAGAAAAAAATTTCTTTTTCAATTTTTCAATAATTATCATGGAGCCGCAACGATATGATTTCCTGGATCGCGAAACTTTTGATCGAATCTTGGGAACTTACATTAACCGAAGAAAAAATAAACGTTGTTTAATGGATAGGAGTCGCTATAATAAATGTCTGGATGTATTAAAAAATAAAAACCTTCCATGTAACCCAAATTTTAAATATTGGGCTACACGCACTTTTATAGTCCTTAATAACGGTACAGCTGAAGAGCTTCATTTAATTAATAAAGCTGGACATAATTTAGGGACACAAGTTTGTCCGATTGAAAGTTTTTATGAGACAATTTGCTCGGCACATCAAGCAACCGAACATGGGGGTCGAGATAAAACATGGAGAAAGGTAAATATTAAAATTTTTATAACCGAAAAATTACATAATAAATTCAAATTTATTAATTTAATTTAAGATCCGTGTTAGATACTGTTACATTCCACAACAAGTAGTTGAAGATGTAATCCGTGAGTGTAGAGTTTGCATTACTAGGAGATCCTTTAAAAAAGCACCTCCAATTCGTCCGATTGTTGCGGAAGGTTTTTTAACCCATGTACAAGTAAGATTTTATTTTTTATTTTATTTTTTATTTTATTTAATAAATTATGATATTAAAATAATCTATTCGTAGATTGATACAATTGATATGACTTCGGTACCTGACGGAATATATAATTATATTTTTCATATCAGAGATCATTTTTCAAGATTCTCTTATGCAGAACCATCAAGATCTAAAAGTACTGAGGAAGCTGCCGCATGTTTATTTAATTTTTGTTTACTATACGGCCCACCTGCCATACTCCACTCTGATAGCGGTGATGAGTTCGTTGAAAAGGTTGTTCAAGAAACTTCAAATCTATGGCCAAATATTAAAATAGTTCACGGACGACCTCAAAATCCACGTTGCCAAGGATTAGTTGAAAAGGGTAATGATGGTAATGGTATCCTCCAGTCTAAACTAGGAGCCTGGATGAATGAAACAAATCGAAGTGATTGGAGTATCGGTTTGAAGTTCATTGTTTGTAAGCAATTATAATATATTTAATAGTACGTTGCGAATCATCTAAAAGATAACCAAAAATTATATGTTATACGTTAATCACCTAATTTCAATGCGCCTCCAAATTTGTTCATATGACTTCACAATCCAATCATTTCCTGCACCACTCTAAAAAATTTTGTTTTTTTAAAAAAAATCGCTACTACTCAACAATTTTTTGAAATTTTGTAAAAGCAATACTTGGTAGATATTACACAGAACTATAGTATTATTTTTGCAAAATTTGGAATATTCGTTGAAGAGTAGCAATCTTGGATGCCTTTAGATAGTTTGCACCATGTTCTATCTAATTTTGCAAAATTTTTATGTCATGCATATAAGTTTTTTTTTCACAAAATTAAATTTATTTTTATTTTTTTAGGGGCTATGAATAGCCAATACAGTACTGCGCATAAGTCCGTTCCTTATAAAACAGTATTTGGACAACCTCCACATTGTGATACGAATTTAGTCAATTTGTTTGAAAACAACTATTCTTATCCACAAACTGAAAAGTCGAATTCGTCATCAGATAGTCTAATTTCTGAAACTGATTCTCAATCGACCATTGTATCAGAATTGAATAATGATGTAAAAAGTTCTAAAATTGATCCATTTTGTTTTGAAGAAACACGGCAAGACAATAGTGATGTGAATAGTAATGTAGATGAAGAAATAAATAGTAATGCGGATGAAGTAAATGGCAATGTGGATAAAAAAGTAAATAGCAATGCAGATGAAGAAGTAAATAGCGTGAGTATAAATTTTAATAATATTTATTTGTTAAATTAAAATTTTATAATAAACTAATCGATTATATAAATTATAGGATGCGAGTATAAATTTCAATAGTGATACTGATGAAGAAATGTATAGCAATATGGATGAAGATGAAGTGCAAGAAATGAATAACGATATGGATGAAGCGCAAGAAATGAATATACAGAATAATTTTCAAGATTATTCTGAAGTACGAATTACTAGTAACGAAATTATTATTATTGACGATTCTGATAACGATTCTAGTAAAGATTGATGTTATACTGCGCGAGAAAAAGAAAAATGGCGGGCATACTCTGATATTGATATTGTTAAAAATAGATCTGATTTTTATTATATATCTTATTAATTTCTATGTATATATCTGGAATTGTCTATTTGCATCATGGATTTATGCTATTTGCTTTTTTTTAATTAAAAAAAAAATAAAATAATATATCTATAATATATATATATATTAATAAATTTGTGTGTTATAATTGATAGCAACGGGTACCATTAATAATTTATCAGTCCAACATCTGAACAGCATAAAATGATTCGTTATTCAGCTATTTTAAACATTCGAAGAAATCGCGATCTTATGTGCAGTAAAAATATAGAACCACACGTGACCGAATATTTTAAGCCGGTAAATTGATACGGTAGCGGGTAGGCAAAAAATGGACTGTCGATCTTTGCCCTGTCATTCCAAAAAAATCCAACCACTCGTATCAAGTTGCTTGTCAATTTGGAATATTAGAAACTGGTATTCGGCAAGTGAACTTGAATCATTGGAAACTTCTGATTATCCTTTACAAGATGTGGTCCTTAAATAATATAATTTCATTTAGACAAGCTGGCATTAAGCAGAGTTTATTTGACCTTCAAAAAAAATCAAATATTGAAAAATTTGGAGAAGTGAATTTACGCGTTACAATGTAAAATACTATAAATGTGTATATGTATTAGAGGTGCAGGCAAATCGTCCCAATGATTGTCGTAACTAGTTACGACATAAGCTTTAGCTAGTTACGGCTTAAGCCGTAACATCATTGGGACACCATTGGGACGATTCGCCTGCACCTCTAATATGTATATAAGATATGCGGATCTATTAATACACAGTGAAATCCAACTATTCGAACGATCAAATTCCCAACCAAGAAAAGACCGTTTCAATAACTCCAAAAAAAAAACACCTAATTGCTGTCAAAAAACAAACTGTAACTCTAAAACTTGTTCTTGTCGAAGAAATAATTCACTGTGTACAAGACGATGCGGTTGCATTTTACGTGGTGAATGTAAAAAAAGATTTTTTTTTTATTTTCTTTGCTTTAAATTTATGTTACATAGAATTTATGATAGACTATAAGACTGTAACAATAATATTCGTATATAATAGGGTTAGAGTTTAGATTTAGGTTTAGGGTTAGATTTAGTGTAAGTTTGGGATAGATTTGGGGTAGGTTTAGGGTAGGTTTATAGTATATAAAATTAAAATTTATCTTGATTTGTACGCCATTATAGTTCCACAACGATGCCTTCAAGGGGTTTTTTTTTAAAAAAAAATTATCTGTATAATAAATTTTCATTTATTATGAAATAACAAGTTATTTTTAAATTTGTAAAAGACATGTCACCTTCGAAGCGATATAAATGAAAAATGACGAACATTTGTCTACTTTAAAGCTTTGGTTTACCATTCATTTTCGCACTACTGTTATACCAATTATTCCAATACTTAGAAACACATAAGGTTATTGATGGTGAGCATAAATCAAAATCATGTGATCCGTTCTGCAACACCAATCGTCAATAAAACATGGGAAAAGTGTGATGGTGCAATTAAGATTACTGTACACCAAATGCCATTTTTGAACTATCTACACTTGAAGATTGAAGACTTTATTGATATTGTAAAACTAGTAAACACAAACAATAAAACTATTCGATATGCTGCCCAAGGGCATTCCTCAAGTTTACTATCTATCACAAAACACTATTTGGTGATATTTACAAGATTAAATCGAATCACTGTACAAAACATCCAAAATATGGTTGGACTGTTACTTCTGAAGTTGGTAAATTTTTATATTTATTCATGATAAAGATTACATGCAAAAAAATAGTTATATCATTTGCTGATCTTGATGAAGCTCTCCGAAATCATGACCCTTCATTAACTCTAATTCTGAAACGAACACAAAGACCACTATGTATGCGAATTTAGCGAAGAAATAACTAAATTAGAAATTCAATGCTGCGAAAGTCAGCCTAGGTACCTATTAAACTTTCATTTTTGATTATTCACTTTTCTTTACTATCTAATTTTATTATTATTGTTTAGATTTACTTGGTATAATTTATTCGGCGACTTTTTGCGTACAACCTATCTCTTAAACCGTTTCTCCTGCAAATTTGCCCTGAAATTTTTTTAAAAGCATTATTTTTAAAATAAAATCTTAAA